TGCAGTCAGGGGAATTTCCCAGGGTGGGGAGTGTTAAAAGAAAATCCCTGCAGTCCATATAACCCAATTTTGGAATTTAGAATTGGACAAACTTGGGCAGAAGTCGGAATGAGGTTATTTTTCCAAGGGATGGGGAAAGACCCTTACTGGGATCAGAGGAGTCTGCATTATCCAGAGTCAGGCTCCTGGCCCACCTAACTCAGGCCCCGGAGCCGCCTCAAGGGGTCCCCCTGCCCCCCAAACCTTGGTTTTCCTGCCTCGGGGTGGTAGAAGATGGTTCTCGTCCCTCCTTGTCTCCCAACCCCTTCCTCTCTGTGCTACTGCAGAACGCAAGACTATTCCGCGACGGAGCGGGCAGGAGCAGAACGGGAGACGATCCACATGGAGTCGGACTCCGTGGAGGAAGATGACGGGAGCTGAAACCGAGGGGGGGGAGGCCCCTGCGAAGAAGCAGCGCCGGACGGGTTGTGACGCTTCCAGCTCCCGGGGAGGCGAGGTCTCTGCCTTGCCCTGTCTTTCAGAGATGCTTTTCCAAGCCACACAGTAGATGACGTTCTAGGCCGGTCTTCCCTGACTTGGTGCCCCCCAGAGTGCGGGTTCCGTTTCGCTTCCTAGACCTCTGCTCCCATCTCCCGTGGCCGTTGGCCATGCTAGCTGGGGGCTCATGGGAGTCCAGCAGTGCCTGGAGGGCACCTGGTTGGGGAAGCTTGTTCCTAAGTCATATCCCTTCCTCCCTGAGCCCTCTTCTCTTCCTCTCCCTCTCCCTCCCGTTTCCCAGTCCTCTTATCGCTCCTTGGAGGATTATGAACTTCTGGGGCAGCCCCACAACCGATGTATGTTTGTATTGGTTCCCTGTTTTTGATTTCCCCCACTCTCTGTCCAGTCTCTCCCCACCCACCCACCCCACCCCGCCCCTTTTACTCTTGTGATTTCAACAGACGTGAAATGAATATATAAAGGGTTGTTTTTTAATGAAAAGAAAATGCCATTCATCCTTGTCAAACTTCTTTATTTAGAGTTTCTCTCTCTTCTCGGTGGGGGGAAAGCGAGAGAGATGGAGGGGAGGGAAAGATTGTGTTTAAATCACCCCGGGGTTGTGGTGGTCCGTGGCTTCAGATTTCAAGGGTGCCGCCTGTCGAATTCTGTTTCTGCAGGGTCTGGACTGTTTTGCATTTCAAACAAGGCGTAGTGATCACTCGCTGCTCCAGATGTTGCAGAACTACAGATTCCATCAATGTGGGCCGTTGGCCATGCTTGTTGGAGCTGATGGGATTTGTAGTTGAGCAACATCTAGGAGGGCCAAAGGTTCTCCTTTATTGTAAAATCCAGCTTTGATTTTGCCTCCATTCTGAGTTGTGTTAGGTGAGTTTTCCCAGCTCTCTTTTTTTTTGTCACCGTTGTGCCTCCCCTCCTTCCTGGGACGCTGCTGCTTACGATAGTTGCTGGTTTGCCACCCTCTCCAGCCACGATAGAGAGGCCTTTCAAGAAGTGTCACTGTGCTGATATGGGTCAGTTTCTGCACAGTATAATTCTCTCAAGCACTGCCGCAAAGATATCAGAATGCCTGGCTAGAACGCTGGGCTGTTGGCCTTTCAGCCTCGGCCTAGCCAAAACTCCTTGTGTGGGTTGTGTCCGAATGCCCCTTAAGCGTTCCCCTGAAAGAATCCTACCATCTCATTCTCCTGAACACAAGACTGGTCTCAACCCTATCGGGAGGAGAGGCAGGACATTGGTGTGTGCAAAACTAGCTGAGCAGTTTTGCATTTCCATTTCTCAAATGCTGTGTTATTGGGCGGGTGGTGCCGCCGTTGGTCTTTTTATGTCTTAAAAAAAAAAAAGCAAAACCAAAAAACCTCTCCGCAGGTAGAAAACACCCCCCGCAGGGGAGTAGGGAGGACACTGGCTACCTAGCTTACTAGGCAAGGGGAAGCATTCAGAGTGGTATCTGAAACAGCACAGTCAATTCTGCAACCAGCTCTTAGTGCCAGCAACTACCTTGGGCAGCAATTGAGCGACAAAGTATGGAGAAACAAGGCAGGTCAGCGTCTCTCTCTCTCATCTGTCATCTTTCCTGTCCCCCCCCCCCCCCGCCCTTTTGACAAATGCATCATAGAGGCTTCCGTTTAGCAGTGCCTTGCAGGCCACTTTGAGAAAGCACTTATTTTCTTCCTGCCCCCCCCCCAAAGGCTGCGGGTGACAGCGTGGCTCAAAAACCTGCACACACAGGTGCAAAGATGCCGTTTCTTCACATGTCACTGTCCTCTTGGTTTTCCACTCGCTCGCCACTCCTGCTACTGATTTGGCAAATCCCAAAATGCAACAGGGCACTCTGTGAGTGCCGGTTGGCTGTTTTGGCCACGCCTGCTCATGGGACTTCCGAATTCTGTGTTCCTCCATGCGTCTCTCTTTTTCTCTCTACTTAGGTTAGTGGAAGAGAATCTTGGCTTTTTGGAGCACAGTAGGTGTGTGGGTGTCTCTGCGTGAGTTTCAGATTATTCCTGTTTTTTAAACAACTGAAGCAGACTTAATTCCAAACTGCTTTATCCAGGCGGAATCCAGATTAGAGGATGAAACTGCCGAAACACTGTCTGAAGCACCATTCTGTTTTTGGAAACCGTGAAATAAAGATGTTCCTGTCTGATAAGAAAGAGGAGTGTTTTGACTGTCAGTTGTAGAACACAGGAGAGTGAACGGCTGAATTGGCTGCAGAATCATGCTTTCAAAATATCTCACCTTTTAGGTTTGGGGCCTTTTCCAATGCTAGAGCAGACCCATTGAAGTTAATGAACCTAACTGAGCTGTGCCCATTAATTTCGGCGGGTCTGCTAAAATTAGGACGGGCACTGGAGACAACCCTTTGTTGTTAAAGCAAGCTTCCAAGCAAGAAATAGCAAATTTCATCTGCAAGAGGAATTACTAAATACCACTTCCAGAGTGGCTGGATGGGTCAGTTCCTGCTGTGGTTCCTTACAGCTTGCAGAAAAAAAGAACAAAATAGGGAAGGTAAGAGAAATGGTTTAATTTACGTAATTTATACAGGTTGAAGAAGAGTCCTGTTGCTGAGTGGTGGGAGGGAGTAACCTTGGTGCAGAATTCTTGAAAGCAGACCATAGGAAGGGGTGTGGTAAGCAGTGCTGTAGCCTTATTGGAGTTTACCGATTGGTTGGGTGAGCGTTGCTCCCGGACGGGAGGAAGGAAGTCAAATGACACCGAGGTTTTGGTTCAGAGAAAGAGTTTATTCTGCTCTCCGGATAGCAGAAGGCACTTGCGTGGTCAGTCCACAGCAAGTCCAAAGAAATGAGAGATTTCATGCAGTATATATAACCTCCAGGCACCCTCTCCCCCCTTCCCAGGAATCCAGACACGTAAGCTTATACATGTAAGTTGACATCACAGATGTTCCTGTTCCTGTACTCTTAACCATAAAAGGGTGTTCCTGTACTCTTGACCATAAAAGGGTTTCCTGTTCCTGTATTCATTATCTTGGGGTAAGAAGGTCACCAACTCTAAGACCACTCCTGGCGCCGTTCCTGGGGGGCTGACAAGGTCTGTGCGTCAGTGTGGTCAGGATGTAAGATAAGACCCAGATGTGTCATCCCTCCTCCACTTTGGAACTGGCAAGGCCATTCATTAGGCGTCACGGACTGATAAAGGAGAGAGCTTTGCTTATACAGCTGGGTTCCTGTTATACATTTGCTCAAGAGCTCAAGTTAATGGTTTTTAGCTAATGCACCCTTGGAGAAGGAAAAATGGGGTTTTGGGGGCCCGTTTCAGATTGACTGCACAGTCAGGTTTTAGATTTGGGAAACCCATTCCTTCAGTGCAGAACTAACTTTTGAAGGAAGTGGTAGTGGTTGAACCTAAAGGGCACACAGCCTGGTCAAAATCTGCTCCTGTTGAAACGGACAGGGGTTTACTCGGGTGGTTTAAGCCACACGCTGGCTTTGATGGTGTCTCAAGTCGTTAATAATTATTGCTCTATATATGTTTAGGTAGTAAAATCGAAGTTCTAGTTCCGTTTTTGTAAAGCTGGTGCCCTTCAGAACCCAACCAGCGCAGCTATAGTGCGCTCTCACTATGCTGTTATAAGAACTACAGCAGATTATATATACAGTGGTACCTCGGGTTAAGAACCTAATTTGTTCCAGAGGTCCGTTCTTAACCTGAAGCGGTTCTTAACCTGAAGCATGCTTTCGCTAATGGGGCCTCCCGCTGGTGCGTGATTTCCGTTCCTATCCTGGGGCAAAGTTCTTAACCTGGAGCAACCACTTCCTGGTTAGCGGAGTTTGTAACCCAAAGCGTCTGTAACCCGAGGTACCACTGTACACACAAAAACACACAGGTCTCGCTTCCTGAACACAGTGCATTCCTTAGAAATCATTTGCCAGGCAAGTGTTTGTATAACGAGTCCACGATTTCCATTGATTCCTATGGTAACATTTCTAATCCGTGATTTCCCCTCCCCCCCCACGTTTCTGTTTTTGTTTTCCCCTGAAATGGCTCCAACCAGCCAAAAAAAGACAGGACGCAGAAGCAGAGGGAAAATGTTGCCTGAAAATGTCATTCAGGAGATGGGTGTACCAGAAGAAGCATCAGTTGCAGCCGAAACAGGGAGGGCGGGGAGTTACAGCGTAAGAGCCTATCTCGTGGGGTTACGAGAATAAAATGGGGATAAGTTGTCCAGTAAGGACATAAGTGGCCCATTTAGTGGCCTGTTCTCACAGTGGCCTATAAGAAGTCCCAGAAAGAGGACTTGAGCACAAGAACATTCACCCCCCACCCCCTGTGGTTTCCAGCGGCTGGTGCTCAGAAGTGTTACTTGGGTTTGATGGTCACCCCAGGTTACTAGCCTTTTCCTCCACAAATTTTGTCTCTTCTTTTAAAGATATCGGCGCTAGTGGCTATCACTGCCTCTTCAAATAGTAGAGTTGGAAAAGGACCGTGAGGGTCATCTCGTCCAATCCCCTGCGAGGCAGGAACCTCAGCTAAACCACCCATGGCCCACCTTTGAGACGGAATTCCATTCCATTTTGTGAGAGGGAATTCCTCCACCCCACCTAGCCTACAGTCTGGCCCTCTACTCCCCAGAGACTTAAAACCCACCCATCAGCACCTTCTAGAATTGTTAGGGAATTACTCTCACAATCAAGCCACCAGGTAGGAGAAACCACAACCAGCCAGCCATGGCCATTGTCCTGTGTGGCCTAGGCCCAGCAGGGGAGGGAGGGACTGCCCAAGCAAAACACATCTATGGCCAAAACGAAGTTCCAAATTGCCTCTCTTATTTTAGTGGCTGAGCCCCAGACCCGTCCCTTGGAAAACGCAGGCAAGCCTTTCGAGTGAAATCCACCCCCGTTTGCCGGCTTCATTGGGGTCAGAAGCGTGTTAGCTCTTCTCTTTCGGAGTCTTGACTTATTTATCATCGTCAGGGCAGCTTTTGGGGTCGTAGGCTTGCTGTATCTTCAGTATGTTATATCCCTGTAGGTTCCACTGGCCGAAATGTTGGAACTCCTCCTTGGGGCTTTCGTCGTCACAACCCTTTGGGTCATAGGCCTGTTGGATTTTGAGGATGTTCCAGCCTTCCATTTCTGGTTTGCCAGAAGGCTGGGCCTCCTCCTTGAAGATGGAGGAGTCTTCGTCGCACCCTTTTGGGTCGTAGGCCTGTTGGAGCTTCAGTATGTTCCACTCCCTCACCTCTCTTTGAGGAGGCGGGGCCACCACCACTTCTGCTTTCTCCCTGCCAGAAGGCGATTCACCCTCAGAAAACTTGGGTGTGTAAGCTTGCAGCATTTTCAGTATCTTCCAGTCCTTTGCCTCCTCTTGGCCAGAAGGCGGGACCTTCTCCTCTTTTCTAGAATGAGTTTTGTCGTTCTGCACCTTGTCATTGTCGGGTGTTCGGAACACCTTTGCCTCTTTGCCCGTGTAGGATTCATCATCGCAGCCTTTGGGGTCGTAGGTCGCCTGGATTTTCAGGATGTCCTCCACCGGCTTGCCAGAAGATTGGACCACCTCCTCCTTCCTGGATGGTGCTTCCTCTTCACAACTTTTTGGGTCGTAAGCCTGCTGGATTTTGAGGATGTTCCGTCTGTCCATCTCTTGTTTGCCAGAAGGTTGAACCTCTTCCTTATTCGTAGAAGCTCCCTCGTCACAAGCTTTTGGGTCATAGGCTTGTTGAATTTTCAGTATATTCCGCTCTTTGTCCTCTTGTCTGGGAGGTGGGACTTCCATCTCCTTCCTGCTGGAAGGTGATTCATCATGGAAAATTTAGGCATATTAACTTTCAGGACTTGAAATATATCCCAGTCCTTGGCCTGCTCTTTCCCCGAAGGTGGGATCTCTGTCCTAGAAGGAGCTTCATCATTCTCCACTTCCTGTGTTCCAGAAGTCCGGAACACCTTCTCCTCCTTACCTGTATAGGAATCATCATCGCAACCTTTGGGGTCGTAGGTTGCCTGGATTTTCAGGGTGTCCTCCACCACTTTGCCAGAATGTTGGACCACTTCCTCCTCTCCCTTCCTGGAAGGTGTTTCTTCATCGCAGCCTTTGGGGTCATAAGTCTGCTGGAGTTTGAGAATGCTCCACCCCTCCATCTCCCACTTGTCAGATGGTTGAACCTCCTCTTCCTTATTCATAGAAGCTTCCTCGAGGCAACCTATTGGGTCATAGGCCTGTTGAATTTTCAGTATATTCCGCTCTCCGTCCTCCTCTTGGCTAGTAGGTGCGACGTCATCCTCCATCTCTTCCCATCTATCATCGGCAAATTTTGGTGTGTAAGCTTGCAGGATTTTCAGTATCTTCCATTCTTTTGCTTCCTCTTTGCCAGCGGGTGGAATCTCCTCTCTCCTAGAAGGAGCTTCATCATTCTCCATTTCCTGTGTTCCAGAAGTCCGGAACACCTTCTCCTCCTTGCCCGTATAGGATTCATCATCGCAGCCTTTGGGGTCGTAGGTCTCCTGGATTTTTAGGATGTCCTCCACTACTTGGCCAGAAAGTTGGACCACTTCCTCCTCCCCCTTTCTGGAAGGTGTTTCTTCATCGCAGCCTTTGGGGTCGTAAGTCTGCTGGAGTTTGAGAATGCTCCACCCCTCCATCTCCCACTTGTCAGATGGTTGAACCTCCTCTTCCTTATTCATAGAAGCTTCCTCATCACAACCTTTTGGGTCATAGGCCTGTTGAATTTTCAGTATATTCCTCTCTTTGTCCTCCTCTTGGCTAGTAGGTGCGGCCTCCTCCTCCATCTCTTCCCATCTATCATCAGCAAATTTTGGTGTGTAAGCTTGCAAGATTTTCAGTATATTCCACTCCTTTGCCTCCTTTTTGCCAGGAGGTGGGGTCTCTTCTTTTCTAGAAGGAGTTTCGTCATCGTCCTTGACCGTATAGGATTCATCGTCACAATCTTTGGGGTCGTAGGTCGCCTGGATTTTCAGGATGTCCTCCACCGGTTTGCTAGAACGTTGGACCACTTCCTCCTTGCTGGAAGGTTCTTCCTCTTCACAACCTTTGGGGTCGTACGCCTGCTGGATTTTGAGGATGTTCCGTCCCTCCATCTCCCACTTCTGAGAAGGTTGAAGCTCCTCTTCCTTATTTGTAGAAGCTTCCTCATCACAATCTTTTGGGTCGTAAGCCTGCTGTATTTTGAGGATGTTCCGTCCCTCCATCTCCCGCTTCTGAGAAGGTTGAACCTCCTTTTCCTTATTTGTAGAAGTTTCCTTGTCCCCACCTTTTGGCTCGTAGACCTGTTGGAGTTTCAGTGAGTTCTGCTTCTCTGTCTTCTGCTTGCCAGAAGGTGGAACCTCATCTTCCTTATTTGAAGAAATTTCTTCATCACCTCCTTTTTGCTGGTATGACTTTTGGCTTTTCAACGAGTTCCGATCCTCCAACTCCTGATTGTGAGAAGATTTTACCTCCTCTTCCTTATTTGAAGAAGTTTCTTCATCACTACCTTTTTGCTGGTATGACACTTGGCTTTTCAACGAGTTCCGCTCCAGCTTCTGACTGTGAGAAGATTGGACATCCTCTTCCTTATTTGAAGAACTTTCTTCATCACTACCTTTTTGCTGGTATGACACTTGGCTTTTCAACGAGTTCCGCTCCAGCTTCTGACTGTGAGAAGATTGGACATCCTCTTCCTTATTTGAAGAAGTTTCTTCATCACTACCTTTTTGCTGGTATGACACTTGGCTTTTCAACGAGTTCCGCTCCAGCTTCTGACTGTGAGAAGATTGGACATCCTCTTCCTTATTTGAAGAACTTTCTTCATCACTACCTTTTTGCTGGTATGACACTTGGCTTTTCAACGAGTTCCGCTCTAGCTTCTGACTGTGAGAAGATTGGACATCCTCTTCCTTATTTGAAGAACTTTCTTCATCACTACCTTTTTGCTGGTATGACACTTGGCTTTTCAACGAGTTCCGCTCCAGCTTCTGACTGTGAGAAGATTGGACATCCTCTTCCTTATTTGAAGAACTTTCTTCATCACTACCTTTTTGCTGGTATGACACTTGGCTTTTCAACGAGTTCCGCTCCACCTCCTGACTGTGAGAAGATTGGACATCCTCTTCCTTATTTGAAGAACTTTCTTCATCACCACCTTTTTGCTGGTATGACACTTGGCTTTTCAACGAGTTCCGCTCCACCTCCTGACTGTGAGAAGATTGGACCTCTGCCTCTTCTTTCTCCATGAAAAGGGGAGCATCCTTCACCACCTCTTCCTCCTTCATGTCTGGGTTAGGCAGGTAGTCCTTCAACCGCAAGAGAGATTCGGGACTTTGCAAAGCATACTCCATCAGTTCATCCATGGAGCCCTGGGCTTCAGCCATGATCGCAAAGCTCTTGTTCAAGACGTTGTCAGCCAAATCTCCAAAATTGTGGGCTGAGACGAAATCGGAGTGGAGCTCCCTTATGTGCCGGCTGGTTTGGGACAGCTTGTTCCGGAGCTCTTCTGGGATGTCTTTCAGGCTGGCCACCAGGTTCTCGTACGTGCCTTGGAGGTTCTGGGTCACGCTTCGGGACTTTGCCAATGTCTTGGCTTCTATCTGTCAGAATAGAAAGGACAGATTTATAGTCCCCTGTCTACAAGGACCTGAAGCCTCTGCAAAACCAAATAGAATTCCATCCAACCCTTAGGTATCCCCCCTCATTTCACCCTGAGCTCAAAGCACCAGCTTAACAGGTGCGACAGATGCTCATGGAAGCACCTTATAATAAATAATAATATTTTTTAATTTATACCCCACCCTTCCCGGTTCAAAAACCGGGCTCAGGGTGGCTAACAACAAATTTAAAACACTTAATTATAAAAGCAGCATAAAATACGGTATAAAAACACGAATAACAATAAAAATCAAAAAACAATTAGGTAATTCCTAGGGCTAGCTGGCTGAATTAGACCTATTTGGGCCAGTGAAGAGGCCAGGGGAGGTCTCAGAGCGGGTGATCTTCATAAAAAGGGAGGGGGAGGGAAGAGGAAGGGAAATAAAAGATTAGGCTGAATTCAAGTTAAATAAAGGCCAGGCGGAATAGCTCTGTCTTACAGGCCTGACGGAAGGAGGTTAAATCCTGAAGGGCCCTGGTCTCATGGGACAGAGCATTCCACCAGGTCGGAGCCATCACTGAAAAGGCCCTGGTGGAGGATAGTCTGACTTCCTTAGGGCCCGGGACCTCTAAAATATGGTTATTCATGGACCTTAAGGTCTTCTGCGGGGCAGACCAGGAGAGGTGGCCCCGTAGATACGAGAGCCCTAAGCCACCTTGGAGAGAGTCTCCATCAAAGGAGATTATTCAAGAATCTCTTTGTACATCTGCTGTTTTAGCCCGAAAATGAGGGCCCTGAAAGATGTGTACATCCTGTTCTCACAGTGGAGATGCCTCTGGGAAGCCCCTCAGCGGAATCTGAAGGCATCAGCCCTCATGTACAAATCCCATCAACCAGCTGGAATTTGGAGGTAGACTGAACATGGAAGGTCCATTATTTCCTGCGGATGATGGCTACCAGCACTAAACTTTACATTTTTCTTTGTGCACCATGCCAATTAATTTTTATTAGTTTTCAAAAAAACCCAACCACACAAATTAATTCAAATTTAACCCAGATTTAGGATTTGACTCTCCCCCCCCTTGAAGATGTTCCTTTTCCCTCCCTCCTTTTCCGCTCACAGTAAAAAAATAGCCCCCCCCCCAATAATTTCTAATAGGTTTCCATCCATTCCTATTTCCATCAACGGTACATGTTCAGCTCCTGTTTAGACATTTACCCAGCTATTTTACCAATTAATCAAACAGAATTAAAATCTTACTTTATCGATCCCCACGAATCGTAATTTTAAATCGTGCTTCCTCCAGTACAACTTAAACCATCCTGTCTTTGCGTTCACAACATCCTAGTTAACCATACTCCAGTTTTACACATCCAGGAAAATAATTCTGTTTTACCTTGTTACCCAATTCCCCTTTTCACAAAACAGGTCCATTTCCCCCAGGCTTAATGTACTCCCCACTCATTATTCCCTCTTTGTTACGCAGTTCTCTAACCCAAGCAAACCGTGATCTTGCCTAATCTCTCACATTTGCTGCTCTAACCCCCCATTAACTCTATCCCATACCAAATACCTACCCAAATCTTTATTCTGTATTAAAGGTAAAGGGACTCTGGGGTTGCAGCACTCATCTTGCTTTATTGGCCGAGGGAGCTGGCGTACAGCTTCTGGGTTTTGTGGCCAGCAGGACTAAGCCGCTTCTGGCGAACCAGAGCAGCGCACAGAAACGCTGTTTACCTTCCCGCCAGAGCGGTACCTATTTATCTACTTGCACTTTGATGTGCTTTCGAACTGCTAGGTTGGCAGGAGCAGGGACCGAGCAACGGGAGCTCACCCCGTCATTGCGGGGATTCGAACCGCCGACCTTCTGATCGGCAAGCCCTAGGCTCTGTGGTTTAACCCACAGCGCCACCCGTGTCCCTTATTCTGTAGTACCGACTACATAAAATTCAGAGCTGCTTCTTCCTCTTAAATACTATGAGTGCTTTAAAAAACCAAAAACCCTCCACATCAACATGCCAGGACTCTCCAGATCTATTATGCAATCCTCTATAAGCAGCAAACCAGAACTTTTTCAGGGTGCCTCCAGTCTCAGGCTGTGTTGGGAGGGATGGCAGAGGAGGAGAAGGCAGAAGCAGCTGCATGTGTGCCCTTTTCTGTTTTGCTTCAGGCGGCAAGCAGCCTAGGACAGCCCTGGAGCAGCTTATACTAAATGAAAACTGCCTGCCCACTAAGGTCTCGTCCATCCTCTGGAGACCTGGAGAAGGAGGCTGATAGTCCTTGAATTTTCTGGTCCAATCCAAAGAGTCTATAAACCCTGCAGGACCGGAGGTAGAGATTGGGATTGAATCTGCAAAATGAGCAGCCCAAACTGGCTAGAATTAACGAAGCATTGTAATAAAACACAGTGTTTTGCTTCTTTTTAAAAGAAGCAACTGAGGTCGTAAAGGAATAGAAGGCAGGTTGGCGTCGTAGTGAATCACGGTTTCTCAGCTCCACCATGGTTATTGCGAGAACTGCATAGAGAAGTTGCTTTTATTTGACCACCCCGTGTTCCCCAAACTTCAAATTTAAGGTTGTTTCCCTCCCCCCCCCCGAGAATTGAAATTGGGGGCACTGTTCTTATGCTAGAAAAGGTTGATAAGTTTAAGATAAAATCCTTGGAAGTGAGCATATCTCAGTAAGAGTCGCCGCTTCCGGAAATGCCCCCAGATTGGAAGTCGGGAACAGTGACTTGCCCAGAGATGCAGCGAGACAGCTCCGTGGATGGTGCTTTGGGCTCATGGGAGATTTGAATGTGCTTCCACAACACAATGTGCCAAGGAGCGTGGTTTAGGTAAGGGGGACTTCAGCAGATAATGGAATCGTAGAGCTGGAACGGACCATGAAGGTTCTCCAGCTGCAACCCCTTGTAACAACACGGTGGCTCAGAACTTGAAGAAAAGGGTACCTCAGAGGTAGGGCTGTCATTCTCATCTTCCTCGTCGCGCATCCGTAGGGTGATCTCGTCCTCCTCATCGCAACCTGGCGCCGTTAATGTGATGTTAGACACATCTCTGTAGGTGGGGTCCTTCTTGCGGGGACAGGTGGGTGCAGGCGGCATCTCAACTTTCACTGGGATGATTATCGGTGCGGGTGCCATCTCAACTTTCACCGGGATGAGGATTGGCGGGGGCGGCACCTCAATGCTCACCGGAATAATTATTGCTGGTTGTGGCACCTCAACTATTTCTGGGGGGCTGATTGGTATGGGCAACATCTCGACCTCTGTGGGCGTCATCTCGACCTTCGAGCAGGTGATTTCCTCGCACTCAACGATGGTGCTGTGCGCAGGAGGCAGCCCAATTTCCTTGCACTCGATCATGGTGCTCTGAGCAGCAGGCAGCCCAATTTCCTCGCACTCGATCATGGTGCTCTGAGCAGCAGGCAGCCCAATTTCCTCGCGCTCGATCGTGGTGTTGTGCTCGCGAGGCGCCCCGGGTCCTTCTCTCCCGACCATGGTGCTCTGAGCACGGGGCACCCCAACGTCCAGGGTGCTGAAATCTTCATTCCCCTGGGCAGAATTCCGACGCGGGTTCGCGCTCCACTCCACGCAGATCATGCTCATCCGTTCGTTGGACGGACCAATCTCCAGTTCTGCTCTGTGCTGCACCTGATCAATCTGGAAATGGCCATGGGATGGGTAAAAAGAAGAAGATAACGCAGTGAATTGGGTGGACACACCTGTGCCCTGCAGGAGCTCTCCAGGGTACCAAATACTTGGGCCTGTTTCTTCTGAGCTGGCCGAGCCCTGTGCGAGTGAGAAATGTTAGGTGTTGTTGCTGTTACACAATTTCAGCCGTGGTGGCTTGTGGCCATTGGGTCTGGTTGGGCAGGAAACCCAGGAGGAGGTGGAACCAGAGGCCATGATGTTTGGCGCCAACCAACCCTTGTTTTGTCATCTTCCTCCTCCTTGCCAAGTTCAATGAGGGCAATACTCAGACCAAGGACAAAGAAGCTTGACAGTCCCACCCCCTGGGCTGATTTTAAGTAAGAAGACTGGCTGGTGGAGGCAGGCTGAGGTTGGTAGAGCAGTGCTGCCTAATGGACCAGCCGCCACTGCATTTCTTTGTAAACCCTCCCTGGTTAGATGGGATATAAGGAGCCCATGAACAAAGCTCAAATGGGGTTTGGTAAGGTAAAGGGTAAAGGGACCCCTGACCATTAGGTCCAGTCGTGGCTGACTCTGGGGTTGCGGCGCTCATCTCGCTTTATTGGCCAAGGGAGCCGGCATACAGCTTCCGGGTCATGTGGCCAGCATGACTAAGCCACTTCTGGCAAACCAGAACAGCGCACGGAAACGCCGTTTACTTTCCCGCCGGAGCGGTACCTATTTATCTACTTGCACTTTGAGGTGCTTTCGAACCGCTAGGTTGGCAGGAGCAGGGACCGAGCAACGGGAGCTCACCCCGTCATTGCGGGGATTCGAACCGCCGACCTTCTGATCGGCAAGTCCTAGGCTCTGTGGTTTAACCCACAGCGCCACCCACGGTTCAGGGATTCAAACCGCCCTTTAGTTCCATTGATTTCAGATATTCCCTGAGAGGTTGTTGAATCTCTTTCCGTCTCCCCGACGGTGTTGCAAGAAAGGTCGGAGACTGGCTGGGGATGTTTGGGGACATTGTAATTTTCCATGGCTAATACTTCTCATTTTCAACATTGGCTCCCAGTACGTTTCTGAGCTCAATTCAAAGTGTTAGTACTGATCTTCAAAGCCCTTGGCCCTGTATACCTGCAGGAGCGTCTCTACCCCCATCGTTCAGCCCGGACACTGAGATCCAGCTCCGAGGGCCTTCTAGCGCAGGCTTCCTCAACCTCGGCACTCCAGATGTTTTTGGCCTACAACTCCCATGATCCCTAGCTAGCAGGACCAGTGGTCAGGGGTGATGGCAATTGTAGTCTCAAAACATCTGGAGGGCCGAGGTTGAGGAAGTGTGTTCTAGCAATGCCCTCAGTACAAGAAGTGAAACTGCAGGGAACCAGGCAGAGGGACTTCTCGGTGGTGGCGCCCGCCCTGTGGAACGCCCTCACATCAGATGTCAAGGAAATAAACAACTGCCTTTTAGAAGACACCTGACAGCAGCCCTGTGCAGTCGTACCCTGGTTCTTGAACGCCTTGGTACTCAAACATTTTGGCTCACAAACACCGCAAACCCAGAAGTAAGTGTTCCAGTCTGCGAATGTTTTTTGGAAGCCGAACGTCGGACGCGGCTTCCGATTGAGTGCAGAAAGCTCCTGCAGCAAATTGCAAGCCATGGCTTGGTTTTCAAACATTTTTGGAAGTTGAACGGACTCCAAGAATAGAATACATTCGAGAACCAAGGTACGACTGTATAGGGAAGTTTCAATGTTTGATGTCTCACTGTGTTTTAATTTATTGGAAGCTTCCCAGAGTGGCTGGGGCAACCCAGTCAGATTGGAGGGGGGGGATATCCTTATCCTTATTATTTATTATTTCCCTCTCTGCCTTTACTCACTACTCACTGGCTAATGTGATTGTTTTGTGTCAAGATTGTTTTGTGTCACTGGGACCCTAACTCAGAGATTGACATTCCAGAGACCCCCACCATGGTGGGAGCTGGACCTTGAGCTCCTGTTAGGTAAAAAGGTAAAGGACCCCTGGATGGTCAAGTCCAGTCAAAGGTGACTATGGGGTTGCGGCGCTCATCTCGCTTTACTGGCCGAGGGAGCCGACGTTTGTCCACAGATAGTTTTTCCGGGTCATGTGGCCAGCATGACTAAGCCGCTTCTGGTGAACCAGAGCAGGCCAAGGGAACTGGCGTTTGTCCACAGACAGATTTCTGGGTAATGTGCCCAGCAGGACTAAACCACTTCTGGCGCAACGGGACACCGTGATGGAAACCAGAGCACACGGAAACACTGTTTACCTTCCCACCACAGTGATGCCTATTTATCTACTTGCACTGGCATGCTTTCGAACTGCTAGGTTGGCAGGAGCTGGGACCGAGCAGTGGGAGCTCACCCCGTTGCGGGGATTCGAACCACCAACCTTCCAGTCGGCAAGCCCAAGAGGCTCAGTGGTTTAGACCACAGCGCCACCCGGGTCCCTCTGAACAAGGCATTCCACACACACCCCTTCAATGGACAAGAATTCACATTGATGTTGCAGGGAGAGATGGATTGTTAAATCGGGATGGGGGGAGATAAGAGTTGGGCATACCACTTCCAACGTCTCGTGGAGCTGATTGATGCTCGCTTGGGTACTGCGTCTCGTGAAGCGTAGCTTGCTCAGTGCCATCATGTAGGCCCTTTGACGGAGTTTGTTGGACAGATCGTTGATCCTCACAAGGCAAGCTTGCATCCGGTGGTCTATGGACGTATCTTCGATCTCCGCGACAGCTTTCTTCAGATTTCCTGCTCCGAGTCGGGAGTGGTGAGGCGTTTGGGGAAAGCAGAGAGAGATTGAGGAACCAGAGCACACCTGACCGACCACCTCACCAATCTGCACATTGCTTTAGAAAACCCACAAATTTATTCGTGTCCTGCCTTCCTTGGAAGGGTCCCAAGTTTCTGGACAGAAGGGGTAAGTTAGGCAAAGACTCCTTAAAGCAGCCTTTCTCAACCTGTGGGTCCCCAGATGTTGATGAACTACAACTCCCATCACCCCTAGCTAGCAAGGCCAGAGCTCAGGGATGATGGGAGTTGTAGTCCAACAACATCTGGGGACCCACCAGTTGAGAACCGCTGCCTTAAAGCATCGGTAGGCAAACTAAGGCCCGGGGGCCAGATCTGGCCCAATCGCCCAATTTAAATCTGGCCTGCGGACAGTCCAGGAATCAGTGTATTTTTACATCAGTAGAATTGTGTGCTTTTATTTAAAATGCATCTCTGGGTTATCTGTGGGGCACAGGAATTCGTTCAATTCCAGCCAAAAAAATATAGTCCAGCCCCCCACAAGGTCTGAGGGACAGTGGACCAGCCCCCTGCTGAAATAGTTTGCTGACCCCTGCCTTAAAAGGTGTAAGAGATTAATCTGGCTGGAGGTGCCCTCCAGATGTTTTCGACGAAAGCTCCCATCAGATTATGGGAATTGTTCTAAATATCTGGAAGATGGCGTCATATATTTATTTATATCCCACATCTCCCCTGATTAAAACCATACAAATAAGTACAATAAAAAGAGCAGGGCACGAGCCCTTTTGTTAAAAGCAATCAGTCCCCGAAAGCCTGTTGGAATGAGAAGCTCTCTTCACCTGCTGGCAACAAGGCAGCAAGCAGGGAGCCAGTCTGGTTTCTCTAGGGAGGGAATTGCAAAGTCTGGCAGGAGCCACCACCGAAAAGGCCCTCTCCCACATCCCCAACAAACATGGCTGTGAGTGTGGCCGGACTGAGAAAAGGGCTTCCGAGGATCTCTGAAGTATGTCCCCCGGGAGCTGGTGGTCTCTCCCTTGTTGAGATTTTAATACAGAGGTCGGAAGGCTGTCTGTTCAGGGATTCTTTAGCTGGGATTCTTGCCTTGGAGGGGTCCCTTCAAACCACGTACCGTATTTTTTGCTCTATACGACTCACTTTTTCCCTCCTAAAAAGTAAGGGGAAATGTGTGTGCGTCTTATGGAGCGAATGCAGGCTGCGCAGCTATCCCAGAAGCCAGAACAGCAAGAGGGATTGCTGTTTTCGCTGTGCAGCGATCCCTCTTGCTGTTCTGGCTTCTGAGATTCAGAATATTTTTTTCCTTGTTTCCTCCTCCAAAAACTAGGTGCGTCTTATGGTCTGGTGCGTCTTACAGAGCGAAAAATACGGTACATGGTTCTATGATTCAGCTGCCTTCTCTCCTGGTGTGACGCTCACATGCTTACCAATCTCCTCTTCGGTAAGAGGTAGGTAATGATCCATCAGCTCCTCCGACTTGTCCAGCAGCCTGTCGACGGTTCGAACAAACAGCTGGCATATCCTGCAGGTCAGGACGCTGTGTGGTTCACATTCCCTGTTGTCGTCTTCGTCCTCGTCGTCCCTTAATTCGCTAGCCAGGGCCCTCGCTTCCTCCTCTGCCGCCGTCAAGATATTTGCTCTCATTTCTCCCAAGACCTGAAGGTGAGAGAGAGTGGAAGAATTCATGCGCTGTCGATGGATTGATTATCTATTATTACAGTGGTACCTCGGGTTAAGAACTTAATTCGTTCCGGATGTCCGTTCTTAACCTGAAACTGTTCTTAACCTGAAGCACCGCTTTAGCTAATGGGGCCTCCCGCTGCCGCCATGCCGCCGGAGCACGATTTCTGTTCTCATCCTGAAGCAAAGTTCTTAACCTGAGGTACTATTTCTGGGTTAGCGGAGTCTGTAACCTGAAGTGTCTCTAACCCGAGGTACCAGTGTATTATTATTATTTATTTCATTTCTATACCGCTTTATATTTTTAAGAAAAACCTCAAAGCGGTTTAAGGTAAAGTTAAAGATACCCCTGACCGTTAGGTCTAGTCGCGGACGACTCGGGGGTTGCAGCGCTCATCTCGCTTTACTGGCCGAGGGAGCCGACGTTCGTCCACAGATAGTTTTTCCGGGTCGTGTGGCCAGCATGACTAAGCCGCTTCTGGCGAACCAGAGCAGTGCACAGAAATGCCCTTTACCTTCCCGCCGGAGTGGTACCTATTTATCTACTTGCACTTTGCGTGCTTTTGAACTGCTAGGTTGGCAGGAGCAGGGACCGAGCAACGGGAGCTCACCCCGTGCAGGGGATTCGAACCGCCGACCTTCTGATCGGCAAGCCCTAGGCTCTGTGGTTTAACCCACAGCACCACCCGCGTCCCCTACCCGGGGGAAAAAGGCACCGCAGGATTTGGCTCCTTGGCGCAAGTGGCCTTTGGGGTCAACGCACCGACTCTATTGCGAAATTGGGTTCTTCCAACAGGTTGTTTCGGAACACCCCCTCCAGCGAAGGAGGAGGGTTAGGCGGATGTACGCGCTCTGTCAGATCTGTCTCCGAAATGAGGTCCGTTACTACTTCTGGGATGATGAAAGACACTTCCGGAGATGGTTCGTCGGTATTCCATCCTTCGTCCACCCCCTCGACAAACTCTTCCAGTTCCTCATCTCTGCTTCTACTTCTGGAAGGTGAAAGAACTGGGGGAGAGAGGAATCTAGGGTTTAGTTGCCTGAGCACATGTGAGACTTAACTACTGAGCAATTATTTTAGTTTTGTTTTTGGTTTAAGTTTAGGTTTAGGTTTAAGTTTAAGTTTAAGTTTAAGTTTAAGTTTAGTTTAGGTTTAAGTTTAGTTTTAGTTTTAGTTTAGTTTAGTTTAGTTTAGTTTAGTTTAGTTTAGTTTAGTTTAGTTTAGTTAGTTTAGTTTAGGCTGGATCACCCCCAGACTCTCTGGGGTGAAAGCTGTGTGCTTTAAATAGGTCAAGAGGTAACACCAAACCATTGCTTTCTCAAAAATGGGAAATGTTTAAGAGATACTTACAAAAAAAAATAACAGCGACATATTATCTATGGTCGTGTTTGAATGACCCTGTGTACATAAAATATTAAGAAAGAGAGGAAAACCGGTACGCTAGGTTGTAAGGAAGTATTAGAAAGTATATTGAATGTAAGGTAATAAGTACATTCAAAACCACAGATGTCAGCTATATCGGGAAACAATGGGAAGTCTATATTTATTTTACTTCAGTTTGTTGTTGTTTAGTTTTATGTACCATTATGTGATTTTAGCTTAGCTGCTATCTAAGTGGAATTAGAAGGTCAAATTAACATTCTAAGTTAAATTAATTTAAGAATATATATTATGTGTATGTGTGAAGTTAAATCTATAATGACATTAATGAATTCCAATAAAGAATTTTTTTCATTAAATAAAATAAAATAAAATGTATGGTGTAAGCACCACCCCTGTTAATGTCGAAAGGCATTTGAAAAGCAAGAAAAGGCAAGGAATTTGGTAGCCAGGAGGCTTTCCACACTTGTTAGATCCCGTGGGAATGTTAAGGATCATAGGAAAGGATATATTGAATAAGTATTATCTGCTAGCGAGTGATGTAGCAGAGCACATTCTCAGTATAGCCGGAAGCGAGTTTGCAGATTCGTTTGAATCTCTTAGTTAAGATTATTTCCTGGTGTCCCCTTTAAAAGGTAAAGGGACCCCTGACAGTTAGGTCCATTCACGATCAACCCTGGGGTTGCAGCGCTCATCTCGCTTTATTGGCCGAGGGAGCCGGTGTACAGCTTCGGGTAATGTGGCCAGCAGGACTAAGCCGCTTCTGGCAAACCAGAGCAGCGCACAGAAATGCTGTTTACCTTCCCGCCGGAGCGGTACCTATTTATCTACTTGCACTTTGACGTGCTTTCGAACTGCTAGGTTGGCAGGAGCAGGGACCGAGCAACGGGAGCTCACCCCGTCGCAGGGATTCAAACCGCTGACCTTCTGATCGGCAAGTCCTAGGCTCTGTGGTTTAACCCACAGCGCCACCCGCGACCCTGGTGTCCCCTTTAATCCCTCCTAAAAGAATAAAGACAGTATTTAAAGCTAGAGGAATAACATATGAGAAGTAGAACATAAGATCTGAAATAAGGTAATAAATTGCGGAACATAATTTTTCTTCGGGGAACGCAAGAAAGGGAGACGTGAGGAAGTCCAGAAGATTTTGAAAAATACATGAAAGGATGTGATTTGTTATTTCTTTTTCCCCCCTTTTTTATAATATCTGTGTTATTATATATTTAGTGTTATATACTTGGTGATTTTCTTTTCTCAAAAAATTGCAATAAAATATATATATAAAAAAAGAATAAAGACAGAAGAGTCTTTTTGATTAAGGTTTACTCTCAGTTCACAATTTGATCCCTGAAAGGCATGCCATACTTGGTAGTTACATAAAGAAACCACGTTGCTTATGTCCTTTCTGCCAGGATACCCGAGAATGGTCACTGATTGCATTACCTGGCCAGCCTGGGCCATTCTTTTTGAGATGGTAAATACTTTAGTTTTTGAATCCTACTCTATTCATACACAAAATATGCCCCAAGACAGGATTTGTAGATGGGGAAAAAACTTCTGGGAAAGTTTTCTCCAAGATATTTCCTTCTGCAGAGGAAATATTGGGGGTCATTAAGAGTCAAGATGGCTTAAGGATTGCTCTCCTGTACTATTTCAGACACGTGGTTTATACCTTGTGCACTTATGAACATTTATTTCATATTTGACACCTTAGAATTCTTATAACAGGGGTCTCTGTTAGGGATGGAGGAAGAAATAGGACTTCATGTGCATTTAAAAGGCAAATGTGCCCAGTTTGCACTTCCCCAAAAAATATGAAAACTGAAACACAGGTGTCTTCCAAAATCCTCAAGTCTCCAATTTTTGCAATGCAGCTATTTAGCAAAGTAATGTACAGACTTCCTATTATATATTCAGTGGTCTGTGTTTGCCTGAGCTTGATTCCGGACTAAGGATTCTGAACTCCTGATTCGATACATGGTGTCCAATCACAGAACATTTCAGGATATGGGCCTCTGCCATTGGCCCTTGAGCTCTGAGCCGTGATTCGCAGCTTGGAAGTGTAGACAGCCAATCACGTTGGGAGTGGGAGTGGCCCAAGCTTTCAGGAATGTATATAAGCAGCTTTGCCCCTGTTCCCCTTACTCACACTGTTCCTCCTCCTCTTCTTGGTCCAGATTGAAGATGCTGGAATCCTCATCCCTTAAGGACACCGAGTCTGAACCGAGGCTGTCCGTCTCTCTCTCGCTAAGCTAACCAACACAAGGAACGGATCTGTTAGGACGTGTCTGCACAGTGCATTTCAAAGTGGTTTTGGGACTCTTTGCCCGACGTGGTTCCCAAGCAAGGACAAATCAATAGCTAAAACAAAAAAAATTCCTTCCAGTAGCACCTTAAAGACCAACTAAGTTAGTTCTTGGTATGAGCTTTCGTGTGCATGCACACTTCTTCAGATACACTGAAACAGAAGTTGCCAGATCCTTCTATATAGTGAGAAGGTGGGGAGGGGTATTACTCAGAAGGGTGGTGGGAATGGGTGATTGGCAGATAGCTGTGATGAGCCTGTTGACGACTCTTAACGACTGCAATAGGTCTTACAGGAAAAAGCAAGGGGTGAGAAGGTGAAAAATGGCTTTGTCATGTATAATGAGATAAGAATCCATTTGGTAATGAGTTGCAATTCAGCAGCTTCTCTTTCCAGTCTATTTCTGAAATTCCTTTGTAGTAAAACAGCTACTTTGAGATCTTGTATAGAATGTCCTGGGAGATTGAAGTGTATTCCCACCACCCTTCTGAGTAATACCCCTCCCCACCTTCTCACTATATAGAAGGATCTGGCAACTTCTGTTTCAGTGTATCTGAAGAAGTGTGCATGCACACGAAAGCTCATACCAAGAACTAACTTAGTTGGTCTTTAAGGTGCTACTGGAAAGAATTTTTTTTGTTTTCACTATGGCAGACCAACACGGCTACCTACCTGTAACTAAATCAATAGCTGTACTCTTATATAAACAACTGAGCAATTTCCATTGTGCAGATGTGATTTCCAGTGTCTGCGTCTGCACAGACGCAATTTTTAGCATCTGCACATGTGCAGACGCAACTTCCGGCACCGCGGAAGCGAGTCCCCATGCTGCGCCACGCCAGTTTAGTGCAGCGCGCGGAGACTCGCTGAGCGGGCGGCTCGTGGGCAGATTAAACAACCCCCGTGAGCTGCTTGTGGCCCATGGGCTTTAGGCTGCGTACCTCTGTTCTTGGGAATGGACAATTCTACATCTGGGGCAAACTGCTTGCATGAGAGAGATGTGAATTACAAGGCAGGCAACCGAAGCTCAAATTTGTCCTAAATTTAAGGCAGGAGTTCCCCCTCTCTTGTCATAAACCACTTGAAAAGAGCTGAGAATGTAAAAGCTGTTTAGGGGGGTTCCCCCCCCCCGCTTGTTGCAACAATTGTAATGCACTGTGCAATTTTTTAATTGCATTTTTATTGCGTCTTTTATTTTATTTCATTACAGTCATACCTTGGTTATCTGTTCGACGTCCGGAACTATTCGAAAACCAAGACGTGGCTTCCGATTGGCTGCAGGTGCGTCCTGCAGCCAATCGGAAGCCGTGCTGGATGTTTGGCTTCCGAAAATCATTCGAAAACCGGAACGCTCACTTCCAGTTTTTGATCGTTTGGGAGCCGAAACGTACAAGTTCCAGGGTGTTCGACAACCAAGGGACGACTGTACAATATAAATTCCATGTAACCCTACGGAGTTCAAATTCCCCATGTTCTCCACAGGAGCACTGTGGGCCACACAAATGAAACTTGCAGGTCCATAGGCTGGTTTAGGAAGCCCTGATCTATGGCATGCAATGCTTAAAGGTAAAGGTAAAGGTACCCCTGCCCATACGGGCCAGTCTTGACAGACTCTAGGGTTGTGCGCCCATCTCACTCAAGAGGCCGGGGGCCAGCGCTGTCCGCAGACACTTCCGGGTCACGTGGCCAGCGTGACAAGCTGCATCTGGCGAGCCAGAGCCGCACACGGAACGCCGTTTACCTTCCCGCTAGTAAGCGGTCCCTATTTATCTACTTGCACCCAGGGGTGCTTTCGAACTGCTAGGTTGGCAGGCGCTGGGACCGAGCAACGGGAGCGCACCCCGCCACGGGGATTCGAACCGCTGACCTTTCGATCGGCAAGTCCTAGGCGCTGAGGCTTTAACCCACAGCGCCACCCGCGTCCCTTATGCAATGCTTAGCTGTGATAAAAGAAAAGCACTTAGCGCCTCTGAGCATGGACAGAGTTCTTATCTGCCCATGCATTTTTCTCTTCTGTGCCCCCAAAGTACCTGGTCTCTGTCTCGCACTGCCATCCGTTGGTTGTCATCCAGGGTGGGGTTTCCAGAGAGAGGGTGAAAGGGAAATGAAATTATTATTTATTCATTCATTTATGTACAGCCGCAAGTCAAAGTTGGCGGGCATTTCTATTTACAGCCCTGCTGAAAGTGACATTGTGATCAAACCACCAGTAACACGTCCAGTAACACAATTCATGTCCAAAGATTGCAGGGCAGTTTACAGCCATAGAAGCACAAAATCAAAACACAAAATTCCCAACATAGAAACCAAAGACCCATTAACCTCCATCCCATAAACACATTTAAAAGGGCACAGACTGGTAGGCCGGGTGGAAGAGAGACGTTTTCACCAGGTACCTAAAGATACAGAGGGAAGGTGCTCTCAGACAAGCCTCCCTGGGAGAGCATCCCACAAACGGGGAGCCACCACAAAAAAGGCCCCGTTCTCGCTTTGCCACACTCTGGACCTCTCACGGAGGAGGCAAACATAGGGCCTTAGATGATGAATACAGAGCTACTCAGTTTATATGGGGAGAGGCGGTCCTTGAGGTATTGCGGTCCTGAGCCATTTAAGGCTTTATAGGTCAAAACCAGCACTTTGAATTGGGCCCGGAAATTAATCAGCAAGCAGCACAATCAGGCCGGGATTGGTGTAATATGCTCAACCCGTCTTGCACCCGTGAGAAACCTGGAATTCTGCACAAGCTGAATAATAATAATAATAATTTATTATTTATACCCTGCCCATCTGGCTGAGTTTCTCCAGCCACTCTGGGCGGCTGCCAAACTGCCTTCAGCCCTACATAGAGTAGGAGAGTAGACCAAACAACCTGCAATCTGCAGGAAGCCATCTTCAAATATCTCAAGAGCTGTCACGTGGACCAGGTGCGCAGCCTGGGGGTCATTTTGGACTCACAGCTGCCCATGGAGGCACAGGTCAATTCTGTGTCCAGGGTGGCTGTCTACCAGCTCCATTTGGTACGTAGGCTGAGACCCTACCTGCCCGCAGACTGTCTTGCCAGAGTGGTGCATGCTCTGGTTATCTCTCGCTTGGACTACTGCAATGTGCTCTCCGTGGGGCTACCTTTGAAGGTGACCCGGAAACTGCAATTAATCCAGAATGTGGCAGCTAGACTGGGGACTAGGAGCGGCCGCCGGGACCGCATAACACCGGTCCTGAGAGATCTGCATTAGCTCCCAGTACATTTCTGAGCACAATTCAAAGTGTTGGTGCTGACCTTTAAAGCCCTAAACGGCCTCGGTCCTGTATACCTGAAGGAGCGTCTTCACCCCCATCATTCAGCCCGGACACTGAGATCCAGCGCCGAGGGCCTTCTGGCGGTTCCCTCACTGCGAGAAGTGAGGTTACAGGGAACCAGGCAGAGGGCCTTCTTGGTGGTGGTGCCTGCCCTGTGGAACGCCCTCCCATCAAATGTCAAGGAAATAAACAACTACTTTACTTTTAAAAGACAACTGTTTAGGGAAGTTTTTAATGTCTGATGCTGCATTGTTTATAATATTTGGTTGGGAGCCGCCCAGAGTGGCTGGGGAAACCCAGCCAGATGGGCGGGGTATAAATAATAAATTGTTATTGTTATTATTATAGCCACTGGAAGCCGCCAGAGAGAGGAGAGGGCTCTTTCTGGTCTACCATTTGGTTGTCCCATTTGGTGGGAGAACATGATGTTGATCTAGATGGGCAAATGACCTGATCCAACAGGTGATCTCCTCTACGGGACTCTGGTTCTATGTTCTTATGAGCTACCAGGGACCAATGGTCTGCCTCTGTATGTTCTTAGCACCATAAGCAAAAGTCTGAAGAACGTATGAACACTCTGGCTGCACCCTGTTCTCGCAAGGGCCAGTGGGAACCCCACAAGCTTATAGTGTAGAAGAAGAAGAGTTTGGATTTGATATCCCGCTTTATCACTACCCAAATGAGTCTCAAAGCGGCTAACATTCTCCTTTCCCTTCCTCCCCCACAACAAACACTCTGTGAGGTGAGTGGGGCTGAGAGACTTCAGAGAAGTGTGACTAGCCCAAGGTCACCCAGCAGCTGCATGTGGAGGAGCGGGGAATCGAACCCGGTTCACCAGATTACGAGTCCACTGCTCTTAACCACGACACCACACTGGCTCTCTGGTATTATAATGTATGGTACGGAGGCAACACGTCGAGGGGCGAATGTTGCACTGCAGATGTCCTTCCGATCCCGAAACAACAATGCAAAATAGGGGGGCCCCGATCTCTCTCGCTTTCCTAACACTCACCCTTAGCCATGGTCTCCGGTCTCTGGCCTGGCAGGGTGGGCTAAAAAGAGCCCAGGGTTCATGGCAGCATCTTCCTTCGTTCCATGGGATCTTGGGGCCCAGGATACTCCCAGAATTCCATGCAGCTGTTGTCAAGCTGGGTGATGTCATAGATGGTTGGCGTTGGCTCACTTGCCATAGTGCCTCTAACTCCCAGCATCCCTAAGGAGGAAAGGGGGGGGACACATCATTGCTTCAGAAAGCGGATCTAGATTGCAAGGTTTTTATTATCATCGTTGTTGGCAGAGGAACCGGGTTAGAGGAAGAGGACCAGCCGTGCTCTGTAGCTTTGCCAGGTTTCTGACGGTTCTGCCGTGACCACCTAAGCATAGCTGTCAACTGTCCCTTATTTGGCGGGACAGTCCCTTATCCCAGCGCTGTGTCCCGCTGCTGTCCCTTATTGATGATGTCCCTTCAATTTCCCGGGTTTCAAAGGAAGCAGCTCCTCTCCCTCCCTCCCTGCCGGCCAGGGAGGAGGGAGGCTCCAACTGTGTTGCTTGGCTGCGTTGCTCACCCAATAAGGAGTCTAGAAATGACTGGGGGGTGGAGCTTGCATGCCTTGTGCCCATCAAATCGGCCGCGTTGCCTGGGGACTCGCCTTTGCTCAGCGCTTCCCAGCGGAGAGGTGGCGGTGGTTTTCCTTGCTGCATCCCCTTTGCCGGGTTGCTGCGCTGTGGGAACCACCGCTTGAGGCTTCGTTTGGCTGCTGGCTGGGCTTTCTGCCTTTGGCTCAGAAGTTGAACATACCTGTGCCTGGAAAATCCCTTATTTTGGCTGCTGATCCCTTATTTTCGAGGCTGCCAGTCCCTTTTTTTCAAATCTGTAAGTTGACAGCTATACACCTAAGGTCTTGCTTTAACATATTGTTATGAGTTTGGGGTTGCCTTGACTCCCCTAAAATCCTGGGTCTAAGTGGGTGTTGGAGTTTAATCAATGCTTGGAGCAGCCTTTCTCAACCTGTGGGTCCCCAGATGTTGTTGAACTACAACTCCCATAACTCCTAGCTAGCAAGGCCAGAGCTCAGGGATGATGGGAGTTGTAGTCCAACAACATCTGGGGACCCACAGCTTGAGAACCGCTGGCTTGGAGTTTCGGGCTGCCAGATGCTGAATTTAGCAGCGTCACAATGCATGCCCACCCAGTTTTTCCATGCTTAGAAATCACCTGGGAGAAGTGCAATGGGTGTCTGTGGGTCAGGAGAGGTAGCTAGCAGAGAAAAAGTGGGTCTGTTGAAGGCAGCAAGAGGGACTGATTTGTTTTATATTATTTTATTCAATGTGGTAGTAATGGGAGAAACAGGACCGTCTTGGGGTGTAATGCTTTGAACCCCCTCTAGGCTCAGGGTGCGAGCTGGCAACCGTCTGTCTCAATAAACAATGGAGTGTGCCTCCAGGGGGAAAGTCAAACTGCCACATTAGCCCAGGTCTTCCAAGTGTCCCTATTTTCCAGGGATAGTCCCGGAATTACAGAAGTCGTCCCAGTGTCTGGATTGATCACAGTGTGTCCCAGTTCTTCTTTTTCCCCTCCCCATGTCTCGGAGCACAATTAAAAGTGTTGTTGCAAAAAACGGAGTCCCGTTTATACAGAAAATGAAATCCCTGCCCCAAATGGGGAGGCTGGCATGCGAAGCCCTCCCTATCATTTTGAAGAAAAAGGTCACCAATCCACTTCTAATTCTTTCATTGCTGTGCTTCCGCAACCACCCGTTTCTTAGGAAACTCAGAACGTGTTTATTCCTTTATTGTAAATGGAGCCTTACACTGTCTACTCAGAAGGAAGTCCCTACTGTATTCAATGGAGCTGACTCCCAGGTAACTGGGTCAAGACTGGCCCGCTTTACACCACTTTACATTTTACTCAGAAGTAAGTCCCACTTGACAATAATCCACCAACAGCATACAAATCAATATGGCTAACCTGATCCAAAACACCCACCCACCTCACTCACACACGAAAACAAAGATCACCACAGCCAATCACAAGCAAACAATCACACCCTTGGCCAACCCCAACCTCTCTCACCACCAAAGGAACACAACTGAACAACACAAGCAACGCTGACACCAAACTCTACACACATTAAACATAATAGAAACACCGCCACCCGACCCCACCCCCATCCATCTTCCTTCTCTCCACCCCCCCTTTTCTTCTCTCTTTCTTTCTTCTTCTCCCCCTAATGCCTCGACAAATGAAATGGATTTGTAAAAATGTTACATGAAAAAAAAAATGCAAGGCACTACACTTCTGTAAAACAAGAAAATCCTTAATAAAATATTAATAATAAAAAAAGAAGTAAGTCCCACTGAGTTCAATAGGACTTACTCTCTGGTATGTATCCTGATCATCCTCAAGTTTTCATTACTAATAGGAATACAGTATCCTGCATTTTTCCCTGACAGGGAGAACCAAGGCAGCTGAAATTTTATTTGATTCCATTTATCTGTTGTACATGATGTCTTCCCTTGCACGTTTTTTCTTTACAACAATCCTGCGACGTAGGCAAGGCGGAGACGTTGTCATTGGCTGAAAGTGACAGATGTCAATGTATATACGTGTGGGGTGAGATCAAACACTGGAGAAGCTTCCTGATGGAGAATAGGATGTCCTTGCTTTCATGGGAGAAATGTTGGAAGGTATGTTCGCAGCAATGAAGTGACCTCGCCAGGGTGTGCAGCCCAGACGACAAGACCCCCTCTCGGTCTCACTGATGGGGTCCAAAGGAAACCAGAGCAAGACGTTTGGCACCAGCTTGGTGGCAGGAGTTGCCGGAAGGAGGTGTACAAGGCGCTATCCAACAGCCTTATGGACTTTGCTCCGGATTTGTGTAGGTTCACTCCTGATTCTTATCCTGAAGATATCAGTGGAGGTTTAGGATCAGAGTTTTCCTTCTCCTAGATGGGCTCCCTTCCTAGGTGGATGAACTCCATCTGCCCGTTTGCTGTAAAAGAAGAAGTAGTAAAGGAAGAAGAAGAAGAGTTTGGATTTGATATCCCGCCTTTCACTCCCTTTAAGGAGTCTCAAAGCGGCTCACATTCTCCTTTCCCCTTCCTCCCCCACAACAAACACCCTGTGAGGTGAGTGGGGCTGAGAGACTTCAGAGAAGTGTGACCGGCCCAAGGTCACCCAGCAGCTGCATGTGGAGGAGCGGGGAAGCGAACCCGGTTCACCAGATTACGAGACTACCGCTCTTAACCACTACACCACATCAAAGGACCCTTGGATGGTTCAGTCCAGTCAAAGGTGATTATGGGGTTGCGGCGCTCATCTCGCTTTCAGGCCGAGGGAGCCGGCGTTTGTCCACAGGCAGCTTTCCGGGTCATGTGGCCAGCAGGACTAAACTGCTTCTGGTGCAATGGGACACCGTGACGGAAACCACAGTGCACGGAAACGCCGTTTACCTTCCTGCTGCAGCGGTACCTATTTATCTACTTGCACTTTGTGCTTTCGAACTGCTAGGTTGGCAGGAGCAGGGGCTGAGCAACGGGAGCTCACTCTGTTGCGGGGATTCGAACCGCTGACCTTTTGATCAGCAAGCCTGAGAGGCTCAGTGGTTTAGACCACAGCGCCACCCGCATCTGTGAGTACACCTGTCTGCTGTGAGTACAACATGAATATAGCATGCTCTAGCATATGCCATTCTGTTTATGTGTAAATAAATCATATATCGTAAAGGCACCACAGTCTCTGCCATGCCTCATTTCCAAAGGAAACATGAACCCTGGGTAAGCACCAGGAACCCATGAAATCTTGCACCACAGAAAGCCCTGCCTGATTCAGCAAGCTTGGCTCCTGTTCTTCGGGCGATGCATGATTGCCTCTGTGCAAAAGATCTCACCTTTCTACAGAATCTGTTCTAGGGGTTCCTGAATGGGGTGGGATTCTGGCACACACATGTAACCTATTGGGCCAAAAAAAACTGCATCCAGAAATTTTGCACGTCACGCTAGAATGCTGATGAATTTACACCAGGGCCTTTTCTTTAAAAAATGATGCTGATGGAAGGTTCACAGTTTATGAAGGACTTGCTCGCAAATTTATTGACAGCGGCACGAATTATTATAGCCAGGAAGTGGAAGGGGCAAGCAGAATATAAAATGGAAGGATGGTATAAAGAGGTGTGGCATATAGCTATTAATGATAAATTTAGGGCCGTCTTTACCCGGGTGTGCAAGGGGTGCCTGGCACCCGGGCGCCGAAGAGGGAGAGACAGACAGAAAGAGAATGCACCTATCTAGCGACAGGAGCGCACACAGGCTCCTTCCCAAGAAGAACTCATATATGTGCACTCGCAAGGGCCCTTCAAGCTCCTCTAGGAATAAGGTTGCTCCCACAATGAAAGGTCGCCCAAGACACTAGGACACTGACAAACTGGAACGTGTCCAGAGGAGGGCAACCAAAATGGTCAAAGGCCTGGAAACGATGCCTTATGAGGAACGGCTAAGGGAGCTGGGCATGTTTAGCCTGGAGAAGAGGAGGTTAAGGGGTGATATGATAGCCATGTTCAAATATATAAAAGGATGTCATATAGAGGAGGGAGAAAGGTTGTTTTCTGCTGCTCCAGAGAAGCGGACACGGAGCAATGGATCCAAACTACAAGAAAGGAGATTCCACCTAAACATTAGGAAAAACTTCCTGACAGTAAGAGCTGTTGGACAGTGGAATTTGCTGCCAAGGAGTGTGGTGGAGTCTCCTTCTTTGGAGGTCTTTAAGCAGAGGCTTGACAACCATATGTCAGGAGTGCTCTGATGGTGTTTCCTGCTTGGCAGGGGGTTGGACTCGATGGCCCTTGTGGTCTATTCCAACTCTATGATTCTATGATTCTAAGATGGTTCTCCAACGCATGCGCACAATGCCCGCCCGTCTTATCTTTCAGACACCTCTCTGCGACCGTCAGCGCATGCATGGAGTCTTTAAACCAACTCCCAATGTGTTCTTTGTCTTTAGAAAAGCTGGTTTTAAACAAAACACACACAAAAACCTCCTTTTGGAGCTGCGCAGGTGTGAGCACTATTTATCAAATGACAATAGCGACATAAGCATAATAAAAGTTAATTTGGGGGCTAAACTAAATTTTTTTGGGGGTGGCCTGGGCAGATCTTTGCACCCCGATGGTGCATATATTAAAGACGGCCCTGGATAAATTAATGTGTCATTAAGGTAAGACGGGGAATATGCAGGAGGAATGATTCTGAGGAGATATGGAAGGTGTTT